GACGTAACGTAACATTTGGTCACTTTGGTCCCACTGAACCGAACCGGCGCAACTTCTCTGTTTCCGGTTGCACAGTTCTTGAATTAAGCCTAACCGAGTTGCATTACCGTACATCAAGACGTAACATTTGGTCACTTTGGTCCCACTGAACCGAACCGGCGCAACTTCTCTGTTTCCGGTTGCACAGTTCTTGAATTAGTTCAAGCCTAACCGCCCATAAGGTTAAATCATCTGTGCAGTATCCAATAGTTTACCATAATTATCACACCATTCCCCCCGGTTCGGTAAGCAACCTTGTGGTACCAAGGGGAGATAAGGGGCTCTGTAACATTAGTTTTATCAAACATCCCCTTCATTATCTCCCTTGTTCATTTCACAACCCAATATTTTCCGCAATATCGAATTTAAGGCCAGTAACTGAAAGCTGAGCGCTGCGGTCCTCTGCTATAGAGGAGAATTTCGGTAGCTCAGGTAGAATAGATGGTCGTTGGTTTTTTTTCGCTGAGGTGGGCAATTTTCTTGCAAGCGTTTCATCACCAATCCAGGTGGCATATAATCAGTGTGTTGTTAGTGGTTGTTGGCACAACCACCGACCCTCAACCGGAACCGGAGCCATCGACAGTTGTCAGTATTGTTCCATTTTTCAGCTCGAAAGTTACCCCTGAGTGGATAATTACACCGATAATTTATGTACTCAGTATGACCCGTTTTGGCTACTCAGGTTTCCCGTAGGTTCTGACCAAAAAATCCATCGCACCAAGCAGACGCTGGCGTCCGCCAAGTACCTACATACCTGCTGTGTTTCTGTATTTGGTTTTGCCTAGCTAGTTCGGGTAGGTAGTTGGTTGCCTTCAGACGCGGTTTATCATTTACCTGTTCCATAGACTTTTACGGGTGCCTTCGCAAAACCCAACAGAATTATGTTACAAGCTGTTGAGGAGCTCGAGACGGTTCGGCAGTTGAGGTGCGAAACTACCAACTGAAGGATCTGTAGTTCGATTGTTTCGATTGTAGTTTGAAAGATAGTGTGACAAGTTTATCTTAGGAACAGAATATTCGCAGGAGCTTTACCGTTTAACTAGTACATATTGTGAAAAGGAAACCTCAGGTTTTTGGGAGGCCTTCTGTTTACGAACTCACCACACGAGCCTGACGGGAGCGATAGGGTATCTGAAGAAAGTGCCGTAGTCGAAAACAAACTGGATTCATTCGACCGGACATTACAGAGGTCATCACTCCCGGGGTTTTAGAAAATTTAAAGGCTGCTAAATTTTAGAAGTGACAGGAGGGCGAAACAGTGACTGTATGCTTTAAAAGGACTTCGAGAGGACTAAACCCTTTTTTCGAAGGGAATCATCTTGCGATGTTTTCGGCCCCGTCAAAGGTGGAATCATCGTTTTTGTTGTTAACTACCCGTTTTTCCGTAAACACGAACGTCACACAGCCTATTCTGTTTATTTTGTAGAAGCCATGGTCGTTATTTATGCTGTTTGACCAGTCTCTCAGATGTCGGCCACTTCTTCTCCTACTGATGTAAGCCCATCAAGCATCTCGGCCAACCAACAAACCGCCGGCGCTGTCACGTCTTCAGGTCGCATCGCCTCTTTTAATCGTTTATCAGCGGGAGTTCCCTCATACGGTCCCAGTTCGTCACCAGCCATGTCTGCTGCTGCCGCAGCCGCCTTCCTCCTTCAAGCAGCAACTGGTGGCTCAGTAAATGGTGAAGGATCGACGGGTCCCGTGCGTCGTTCATCTGCACGGTTTTTCGAGTCTCCCCAATCATCGCCCTCATTTCCCTCGGCTGTGATATCTGCCGCTGCCCAACAGGCTGCTCTTGCTGCTGCTGCTCAGGCGATTAGCTCCTCGCATTCTTCGCCAAGCGCAAAAGCTTCATCAGATTTACAGGCTGCCGTCATCTCTTTAGCATTGGCTGCCAACCCACCCACCTCCAGCCAATCAGACTTATATCGATATGACCAGCAAGATCCCGGTTCCAGGCCTAGTCAAGCAGTTACTGATCTATTTTTCTTATCCGAACGACATCCGGAACTGTTGAAGTCCCATCCATCATTGGCATCTGTGTTCAGAAGACGGTCATCAACAGTGCTACCTACCTACCTTTCAGAGTTATCAAATACGGATGGAACTCATGAGACTATAGAAAAGCCGGTATTGAATTCAGATCCTTCCTTCCCCCACAACTTGGTTTCGGCTTTGGAGGTTATAAACAGCCAGGTAAAGTTTGTCTATGCAAACACCCGTGGCTCTAAGGTTATCGACTCATATTCGAACATTGAGTTTAAGATATCTTGCAGATCTGCTGACCGAAGTTCCGCGGTCCGAGCCTAACCATGGCTTCTCGATCGTCCCCGTCCGGGCTTGGGCAACGCAACTGTATCATTGCTCTCGTGTTTCTCTCCAGCTGTGTACCGAAAGAATGCCACAGCTAAAGGATTACTATTACTGTTATTATATTGTTTTTAATACTGTTATCATTCGTTACCCGTAGAGCCAAAACTACGACAGTGAAGCATCAGTGCCAACACTGATGTTGCTATCTTTGGTGATGATGGTGATAAGAACCAAAACAGTCCTGTTTTTTTCACCAACGTGTTAAACTTGCTACTAAGGGTATGTTTCCACCTGACTAAAAACCGCTGCCTTCTGTGATTTCCCTTCAATTAGTCACCGAGAACCAAACAACTGAAACATTAGGTACTGAATTCTCATCCCTCCCTGTCCATCAGGATACGTCGCTTTGAGCTGTGTTGTTCTTTCCGACAAATGCAAATGTGTGCTCCTTGTGTGGAACTCCCCATCCTGACTTATTTGCTCATATTTTCGTAAATTACCTTCAGGACCTATTTTCGAATACCTGTGTGCTCTGTCGATGAAGCATCAGCAAACGGACTTTTCTGAGGATAACAACAGTTAAATTTGAATTTCATCAATCGCCATCTTAGAAAAGAAAGCCATAAATATCCATAACATATTTGTGGTCTGAGCATGGTTAATGTGATACGAGTCACCGCTACTCACTATTTATCCACTTTGGCCCGCAAGCAGTACAGTTTCACGGAAATTTTTCCAAGTTTTGAGCCTAATACGTTGTTAGGATTAATTCATCATCATCTGTTGCGGAGCAAACCGACAACGGATCTATTCTAAACATGTTAGTGTGCCCTCGGCGTAGCTTGCGAGTGATGCAGATCACCGCTCTGTGCTCCACGGGTGTAATGTAATTTAACTGTGGTCATGCCCACCTGAATTAAGAGTTGTGGTCCACTAGTTGGCATCCTTACATGCTCCACTCTCTTGTTCATATGCTGATTTTGTTCTGACGAGGATAACAAAGTGATATGAGTTGTTCAGATGGTTCAGATGGCTCAACACAAACTACCTATCAGCGCGAGGTCCGTTAGCGCAGTTCGGTGAGACGGTTTAGTCCAGAGGCCATGTTACCGACTGCGTGGAATGACAATCGCCATGCGGAAATTCTTGGCTCACTTAACTCGACATAGATGGAGCATGAGTTCTCTAGATTTGCCACGTCACCCTCTTATTTGACCGCGCATGACATTTGCGAGTGATAGACTGCCCTAGCTTTTATCACTCTAACACATGACCGAATTTGTTTTCTAGTCATTTAGGAGTGGGACTACTCTATATGTTTTTTTACTAACCGTGTTTCTGTTATGTGCAAAACTGGTTTGCATTTGAACTGAGAATCGCTTGTCGGATATTCTTAGCATAAAGCATGACACAGTACTCCTACAGTTGATAGCCATGGCTTTGACATATGACCTTCGTCAAACACTTCATTAGATTTTGTAGGCTTTTTTTTGGAATGATAATAATAATCGTTTAGCTGCTACGCCCTTCCGGTACCTAGCTGCCGTGCCATCCGAGGGAAGCACGAGGGCTGGGATACTACCAGGTTGCCCAAACCTAGACAGGGTAAGTCGAGAAGCAGAGGCGGGTTCGAACCACGAAACCAAGGAATAGAGACTGATAGTCGATAATCCAGAGTAGAGAACCCTATAAATTTCGGTGGTTGTAATTCTCTGACTGTCGCCCAAACTACTCTATAGCTCCATTAATCAGTCATTGGTTGTGTAGTTCCGCTTCGTAAAAAATCGTTCAGCTCTAGCACCCTTTCGGTGCCTAACTGTCATGCCACCCGAAGGAAGCACGAGGACTAGGATACTGCCAGGTTGCCCAAGCTTACACACGAGAAGTTGGGATGCACAGGCGGAGTTCGGACTACGGACCTTCCGGTCAGTAAATTCGCGCTCTAACCACTGAGCCATCTCGCCCCGGTTCCACTTGAACTTCCAATAAAACACATGAGGTTCGCAAGCGCCTTTCTGCACACCCTTCCGCCTGGTCGCAGTGACCAAATAGACTTACCCTTTCGGAGCGTTATCCTAAAGGACCTGTTGTTCTATCGTTCTATACGCATCACTGCTTGGGTGGGGACGAACCAACAACCCACTTTTCAAACCAGTTGTAACCGGGTAAAATGGAGTGAGGTTACTGAGGTCGACTAGATTGGTGACGTTTTATCATTTTTCAACTACGGGGCCCATACATCAACTAGGCAACTTGTGGTGCGTGACTTCTTATAAAGATATCTGTTTCGACTTTCCGAAAAATGTAGCCCAATGGTAACTGCCTTGGGAGTGTATCCTCAGTAAATAGGGCGAACCTTACAATCCTTCCTTCCAAACCACTCTCGAAAGACTACTGAAGCTTTCCTCTTCTGCCTGAGGTCTCTTGGTGAAACACTTACCCGTACCCAATACTACTGATTGTGCGGTCTTGTTAGGTTTGGATGGACTAGGTCGCACGTAACCCCTGTCTGTAGGCTCTAAAGCGACTGAGATTCTGGTACATGTGCATCGCGCATGTCTGCATTTTTAGACCGCATCTCAACTACCGAAAAATGTCCTATTCCGCGTGCCGATTTTCACTTCGACCGCCTAGTTTACTAGACTATACAACAACTTGGTCTAATCGGGTCACATTTCGTCAGACGCTAGTACTGCACCCAACCTATTACATATGCATACGTGTATGTGGTTTCGATTACCGTGTAACTGGCAGTTGCATAATGCAGTACCAGCCCGTCAAGTCCATGTGCGCTCGACTCATTGTGAGCAATATTTTTCACTCTTCCGCCGCGATGATAACAAGTGAACTTTTTTGTCATTCTAAAGCCTCTTCTGCGCCCGTATAAATATGTGATTGCCGTTAATATTCTTCCGATACTTGCGCTACTTACCGGCCCCAAGGATTGTTCTAGTGTCTCCGCTGCAATGGCGCTTCATACAGAAGCTGCAAAACACAGGCCTCTGGCAATGTGTGAACTAAGAATGGGTTGATTTATTCGGATGTGTTCTGTGGACCACTTGGTTCGTCCACCGATTCCCGTCGCATTGAGGCGATTGTATGTTAACTACGCAAGCCGATTGGTGCATTTTCAGGCATCACAATAGTCTAAGGTCCCAATAGTCTCCTGATACAGCAATGTGGCAAAAAGAGGTTACCACTGGGAAAGAGGAATAGTTCTATTCGGGGTTGATTTGAAGAAAGGCGCAGTGATAACTCATCAGTGTACCAGGTCGTCGTCGGCGGGACTCACCCGATACCAGCGTAACCTACAACGACAGATGAACATCAGCTGAGCAGCATGGTCAGGAAATGACGTGCAACCGATATCAGTTCTTGACATGTGCTATGGAGTTTCGAGCCATGTGCAACAACAGTAACTCTGACCAACGGGTCTGGAGTTTGATTGCAGTTGCTTTCACTCCGCATTACCCTGTTACGGTCCGTTGCACGCAGACTTTCCGCCAACAAGCGATTTGAATGGAAAGCCGCTTTTCTGTCGGATGTGCGTTTGCTGCACGTAGTACACATCCCAATTGCTTTAACCTGATTTAGGCAGCCTAGCGATTCTTATTTCTTACCAGGCACTTGCTCATCCCAAATTCCATAACCATAAAGTTCCCATAGTTCAGAGGGAAATATGGATCAATATTGAACACCCATTCATGTATATTCGCTTATCTGACTATCTGTCAATAGCTCATGCTCTTCGAACGAGTATGTTCCCTTTAGCAGTTTTCCTGCTAGACCAGTATGCAGATTTTGAGAGATAACTTGGGGCGCATTTGAACTCTCCGTCAGGGTCCACACGGCAGTGAAAAGTGAAGCTATCTTCCAATTAACAACTTTTGCAAATGATACCAGTTTACCTAATTGAAGTCATTATTCCCGTTGTTGATTTCAAACTGGTGTGGACTCGCTCGTTTTAATGAGCTATAACTACTAACCACATAGCTATCGTTCAGCGGTTCAACTTTCAAAGGGAACGGAGCTTAGTGACCCTTGTGTGTACGTGTGTGTTGCACCTCCACACCCTCCAGGTTAGTTCAGTAGCTAAAACTACGATCAGGTCGTCGCTTGAACATGATCCTGGCTTTTCTGGTGTTCCTATCCCGGTTTAGGCAGCGTGGAGGTATCTGGGCTCTCCTGCTTTCATCAAGTTCGTTTGAAGGTATACACCCAAAGCATGTGGGGTTGAAGAAGTTTGATCTTTCTTGAGTGGCAATCTCCAAGAGAATGTGAGGCTTTCGTTATTTAGATGTTATACAAAGTTAGTCCCAGCCAACTAGCATTCGAGCGAATCCAACCACCTCTTTTTCTTTTCAGAATTCTGGATTCTCAGATGTACCCGGGCAATCTTTATCCCCCATACCTATGGCTCGGCTATCAGCCAGTCGAGATGGATCCAGTAAGGAGCACTTCAGTCGTGATGTGGATCCCTACCGTTTCTCTCAGGGACCGTCCGTCTTAAGTCCACAGAATCCTAAATTTCCACGCCACTTCCCTCCGACCACAGAGTCAACCGTTCCGTACGACCGCAATTTTTCACGGGTTTATCGAGGTTCGCCTGGACAGGATATGGTCTCTGCAGCCTATCCTTCTCACAACCCCTATGATCGAGGTACCACACACTCGAACCTTTCACCGACTTCTGTGGCCAATGTTACCGAGACTGGAGCTACGCTGTGCCGCTCTCCATCTCCTCTCAGTTGCTCTTCCTTGTCCAATTCAGCCACACCTCGACTGAATATATCTCCAATCGGTCAAGACGGGCGAAACCGCTCCATGTTGCTCGACTCGGCCGATCAAAGCACCAAGTCGGGTACCTCTTACGCATCTGTTCGTGCGGGGTGTCTGAGTGAGCATGAAATAAAGACAGAATATTCGGTAGCTGGGTCTTACGCGGACGAACCAAATCGAAAACGAGAGCAACGCCTAATAAAAAATCGGTTAGTATCTTGGTGGAATTTGATATCGCCCTTAGATATTTTCGATTGACTCGATTCCTTTTATCCGGAAGGACAGTGACCCGTGATTTGAGTCGGTTTATGTCCTTAGTGGGGTTATCGGAGGTGTCGCCTGCAATTCACATTTCAACACACGCCATATGACTCGCTAAGATCTAAAAAACAAGCGAATTCGCTTGTAATATGGTGGGGGTCCCCGCAAGTGAATGACCTGTGTAACGAAAAACCCACTTTCTTGTTTTCATTTTTGCTCATTTACTATTTTTGGCTAACTGGGTATTCAAGTGAAGGCTGAAAGAACTGAAAGCTAACCAAGTTATTTTCAGTATTCTTTCATCTAGACGGATAGACTTACTCTCCCACCCTCGTCGAAATTGAGAGCTTCCTTTTCCTAATACTCATCCTGCTAACCAGCAACACCCTACACGGACGGAATGATTAAACCTAAAGTTTCGATGCCACATATTACTGAATTTTGCTCATCAAGTCAGACCCATACTGAAACAACGGTACTCTGCCTCATAGGTTGCCGGAAAAATTGGTCTGGCCTCTTCAATGATTAGAATGGTTAGAAGTACATTGCTGTGTGCGCGATCGCAACCTTGTGTCTGTCGAAGCACAAAACTCTAAGGCTACAGCATATAGTCTGATTTGACTGATGTGAGCGCACGCGTACGGCGAAGTGTAAAGGTGCGTAATCAAGCCGGCTAGTTGGTCCACAATACAGTGCTTCATCTAGTCGTTTTTTACATCGTTGTTTTAACGCCCAGCCTCTGAATTATCACCTTCCCCAATCCGACCGAACTAGATTACCTTTTCACGAAGTTGCATTTAGGAAGGGCGTACTCTGATCACAGAGTGGTGTACTTTCTCCTGACTTCCACTGACGAACACTACACCTCGGGCTGCGTTACGCAGGTTAGTCAATCTTTGTTGCTTGAGCTGAGTTCACAATCACCAGGGAGAACCGTCCGGATCTAGGAAATTATTTTTCGACTCAAACATAGAGGGGCGATCCATAGGTGGAAAAAGGCGGGTCGGATTGGAGATTTTAGCTCACTGCATTTCATAGATAGTTTCGCATAGTCCCTGGGTTACACATGGAGGAACGATCACTAAATAGACTTGTGTTTGTTGTAGCCTACTGTAACCACGGCTACTGAGGAACTTTTTCGAGGTTGAACAGACCCTGTGGAGATTGCGGTTGACTCTCACTGGACGCTGTCGACCCCCAACGAGTTACGGGATTCACCTTTTGCCGAGAATGGTCTAAATACCGAATTCAGAACTTCACAAACGAGAAATGGATACCTCGTGATCTTGAAGAAGTGGCTGAAGGCGTTTAGAAAATGTTTCGGAAACTTCTGCATGAGCTCAAAGATAAAACTTCAGTAGCTCTCTCTGTCTCACCCAGCTGAAGATGAGCTCTCCAAAAACTTCCCTAGAACAAGCGGTGATCGACAAGGATATCCACATTCCCTTCTTGCCCAACTTCATCATTAATGGAATAATGGAGTGAACCCTGGAAGGTCTTGAAAATCCCGGTGTTCAAACTGTTGCTGGTGAGAATCTTGTCCATCCGGATTACGCAGACGACATCGCTCTCGTCTCAAGGGTCGCGTGTACTAGGCTTCAGTAAGGGCTGTGTTGTTTGGTTGCAATACGCGACCTCTGCGGACAGATGATGCGAGGCGTCTTCAAGTTTTCGACCACCGATGCCTCAGAAGCGTTGCTAGTTTTGGATTGCCTCAATGGATTAGTAACGAGGTGATTAGAAAACGGGTGCTCGCTTGTGCAGCAGGTACTTCAGTCGCAGAAAACATTCGGATTCATCGACTACAATGGCTCTGCCATGTTCTACACATACCGCAACATTGTATACGGAGACAAGTGTTGTTCTACGTGCCTCCTTCAGAATGGCGCAAGCCACCAGGTGGACAACGTATGACTTGAAAGAAGGGTGCGAAAGAGGTCATGAAGAGTGGGTGTTTTTGGTGTTGCACACCTAGGATGAGGTCTCCGTGACCCCACCTGCGCTTGGCTGGAGACATTGCAAGAAGTGGCGGCTGATCGATGTCAGTGGCGTTCGTGCTGTCAATTTCTTTCCAGTCTGTCTGAGTGGTTGGAGGTGTAGGTACCTCTGAATGCTTGGCATTGGCCAGCACTAGGTCCCTTCCCTCACCTGCTCTTTTCCTCTTTTCATTCTAAGGCTTTACGTATACTTAGATAGACTTTATGGTTGTACAGCAGTGGGGCATCAGTGTCAACAGTGATGTTGCTGTTTCTGATGATGATGATGGCGATAGCTGAAGATGCTGCTGACTACCAGTCCTCGTTGCGGCGTTCTAGCTGTCCGTTTCAATTCAGATTTTGAAGCTTTGAAGTTACCTTGGCATCAGGCTCCTCGACCTTTTTTCACTCATTCGATCACTACACATAATCCAGCACACCATCGACGGCGCACACTGCTGAAAATGCTGTTCTCACCCCATGGGTTTTCAACCACATCCAGATTTATTTATGAATGTTTCAGTTTCCACAGGCTTTAGTGTGATAATGATCATCCTATTTTCATATCATGGTCTTTTCACTTCGATCCTTTTATCGACACGGATTGGTGGTGAGGTGTAGGGTTTTCCTTTCCCATCGTCGGCAAGCTTCATTTCTCGCCCTAACATTTCGACCTATTCGTACCGTTGTCCACTATAAGAACAACCCTCCTTCCGCACTTCCGACCGGACGATTCCCCATTTCGCCTATTCAAGTAACCGCTCCTCTAGAGAACCAAACTCCCTCAACCATCCGAACGCGATTTTCAGCAGTCCTATCTATTTTGTTCCCGGAACAACCCAGTGGCCAATGCAAAAGTTTCACCACTAACTAGACGGAGTCTGTTTGCCCAGAATTAATTAGCAAATCGTTCCCCATAGCACGTACCAACCCAAGCCAGCTTCGCGGCCATGGTATCTCCTGTTCAGACACGTGCATCGGATTTTTTGTTCACCGAGTGGATATTCACAGCCCCAGTAATGCCCTAGAACCGACACGTACTCAGAACTCAAACTGGATGTATTTGTGCTCTATCTCATTCCATCAGGTGCGTTCAGATGACCGTCTCAGCCAATTATTCCTAGTACCGCTTATCTCACAGCTACTCACCACCGCGTTCACCTAACATGTGGTGAATGCACATTTCTTGGCTTCACCCCTCTTTTAGTCGTTCTTATGTTGTGGTCATACTGCGGAGCATGTATAGAAGCTGATTCTTTCAAATGTGATCACAAAAATGGCACCGTAACCTCTACGATACAAATCGAGACAGTCTGACGTCACGCTTGTTCTATCTTCTAGCTCTTCTCAAGGAGGACGCAAAGTGTATGTTTGTCGTGGTTGTCAACTAACGGAGTAAAAGCGGTCAGAGTTCGGCTTACCTTTTTTTTACTTTATTGCATCTGGTGTCTCTGGAAGAATGGGTCAGCTCCAATGACAACACAGGTTGCGGTGGCCGGAAACTACGGTCCGAAACGTAAATTCTACATATAGGTGTTCAGTTCTGTTCCCAATAATAAATATCGAACTTTGACGTGCGCCCGAAGTTCCCACATCCTCATCATTAGTATGAAGTTTTTAACTGCTCGAGTGACATCGCCACTCAAAATAGGGCAGTGCTTGGTTGATTAGTTCAGTCACTTGGCGTCCGACCACTGGAGTTCGTGGGCTTCAATGAGATTGAAACTTCTCCGGATGTTGAAGATTGTGAACGAATATTTTCGTTTCGTTCTCTCTTACCTAGTTTGTTCTAAGAATGTATATGGGGAACCATTGGTTAAATGCTTCAAGTGTTTGCCCACTTTAAATTCCCACGAGCCAGATATTGCATCCATAGACTAGCACTATGGCCACCCGAAACGCAGGTTCACCTCACCCTTAACCCACGGTATTTTGGAAGCTTGAAGAAGCACTTTAAGCAGTGTTGCTGTGCACAGTTGTTCCATCATTTGTTTGGTCATTCAGCCCGAACTACTGGCTACGAATTCGGGGGGAATTCCCCGCGACTGATAACAGCATAATTGGATTTGTACTCGTGAAAAATTGGTCTTGTTGATTCGCATCCTGTGGGAGCTCACCTAAGAATTGATGCGACCGTAAACCAGTTGGATTCCACTAGTGTGTCTCCTTACTACAGCTTTTTCGTCAGCACATTGAAGATCTTTTGGGTGCCCGCGTAGCCAGTGGATGTCTACATCACTGTCCAGGCCAAAGAATAATTGGTGGGGGTAGGTGATAATTGACAGTTCTGAGGGAGTCAGCAGCCTTGGTAAGGCAAATACGTTATGTGTATCCTCCCTTTCACCGGATCACTGATTGTTTCAAATATGCTAGCATACCTAAAAGGTGCGCCTCGGTCCAGGGGGTTCATGGAGTGTTTTTCGGTTTCTCGAAAGTGACTAATTTTGAGGCGAGGGGAAGTTCTGTACTCGCCTGTACACCATATTGTTATGGTCATGTTGTTATTGTATGGACTGCTTGCTCTTCCTTTCATCATATTGGCCTACACTCATTACAGTATGAACAACTATCTTTCAAACAGTGACGACTTTTTCAACTATTTATTCTAGTGAAGCGGCGCGCGAGTGCCGAAGAAAAAAGAAGGAATATGTCAAGTGCCTTGAAGCTCGTGTCAGTTTGCTTGAAAGTCAGAATCAACAGCTAATCGAGGAGCTGCAGAAAGTCAAGGCGCTTTGTTTCAACGAGTTGTGTGGGCTGGGTCTTACAAACTCTACCGCTGCGTGCGCTGCTGCAGTGCTTGCCGCTGTCACTTCCGTACCTGGCACTTACTCTGCACCCAGCGCCTCGACTGCCATGAAAAGCTCGCCTTCAGATGTGGTAGCGCGCCAAATGAACAATGAATCATTCGGCCACACCACTTTGCCATCCGATGAGAGTCATCTTAGTGCACATTTGCTCCCTTCATGTCGTTCGAGGACCCGACGTCGTTCTATTCTTTCAGCGACGAAGTTTCAATCCGATGTCACCTCACTAGATTCCCAAATGGTGCCTGACTATCCGAACGATTATATTGGAGAGGTCGACTCTGCTAGCTCCCAACTGCAGCCATTTCCTCCTACTGGAGCAACTCAAAGGCAAAATGGATCCCAACAATATAGAGACGCGCAATCCCGGGCATCCGAGTCTACCAGTGCTGGCGTTTCACCTAGCTCTTACGACTCGGTAGCTGCCGCGAGTGATAGTTATCGTCAAAATAATCATGCCCAAACAGCCTCAACAATCCCGACCCTCCCCAGAGACGATTCCAAACGAATAGAGCAGTCACCCTACTCATACAGTCCACCTGCTGTTCAAGCTGTCTCTAGAACATCCACGTACTTTCATCATCCACACTACGCAGCCAAACGGGCTTACCGTAATTTGACCGTGAACACGGACGAGCCGAACACATACACCGACCCACAAACGTCGAGTCCTGAACATGGCGGCTTGGTGAAGTCTACTCGCTCTGCTAATACTGTGGCTGATGCTGCTGTCATTCTGGCTGCCGCGGCAGCGATGGTGGCGGAATCGGAATCCACCTCCAATGCTGAACCTCGGGTATCCAGTTGAGTGGCTTGGTCTCACTTGCCAATAGTTCTGCGCACCCCTGCTCCAGTAACCATTGTCTTTCAGCATTTGACCAAGATTTTGACTTGTATAATACATCAAGGAACACCTTTTCAGGGTCTTTCCCTTTGATTTCTTGCGGTAAACACCATTATCATTCGTCTTTATTCTCCACGGACGCTAACACTTGTTTCTATGTTTCCATTGTATGATTTACCCTGTCGTCTTCCCCGCACTCTTTCGTTGCATTTGTTTTCTTCGGTTCACACGTGATGCTTGCCTCAAGAACTTCTTTTTGACAACAACTGTGTTCCGACGATGATTGTACTTGCAGTTGACACCTGATACACTCCGTGATTATCTTGTTATATTGCTCCGAATTTACTATTACGCTTACTACTACTCTTGTTAGTGTTGACCATACTGTGTCAGGTTTCTTTATAAACTGTTCAGGTATTCAACAGTGCTTTATCTGGATTTGGCAATACTTCGGTTTGCTTTGTTTCGTACGATTCACTGCAGAATTTTCTGTAGCAGTTAATCAGGAACCTAGCGCCATTGTTATTCCTGTGACTGGTACTTCGACCTGCTCTCCTCGTCCTCCTATTATCCGCGTTTTCATTATCACCGATGTGTCCATCGCTTGTTCCAATTTTTCTCTTCCTGGCGCTGCGCCCTTTTTTATCGAGCTCTTCGTAATATACCCACTATTTTTCTGCGCATCATATTTGGCTGTTTATTTGCACACGACCCTGTCCTGGTTGTAGAATTAGTTCCCCCCAACTCTGTTGCGCCCCCCCCCCCACACACACACACAGACCCACACGTTTTTCGATCATGATGGGGTTACCAGCTGTTTAGATGTAATTCCTATCTCAAATTCGAAGGAGGGTTTTCTGCTCGGATCTCTCTACCTTTGGAATAGTGTCATTCGATATGTCGTTGTCACCGTTCACCCCTCCCTTCTATTCATCGTTTTTGCCAGTTCCTTGCCTCTGTACATAAATAAGTCTGTGCATTCAGTCAAACTGGGTTGTCTTTTTTTACCACTTGATATCGCTTCCTTTGGTACTTTGTCCTGCTGTAAGCGCCGTAATTATTCCTGGACTGTTTTCTGCCGATTGGTATTGCTCATCTCCGAATTGTTTCCTTTCCACTTCATTTGCAACATCATTTTGTGTGTGTTTCTTTGTTCGCGTGTTTGTGTGTCTGTATTAACTTTTACCAGAAGTTGACATCAGGTGAATTTAAAATCTTTCAACACAAAGAATTATTAGTATGTTGTGCCTTTTTTCCATCCGAAAATCGGCTGTCTAGTAAGCACGTTACCTTTTTTCTGTTGACGCTGTTATTTTTCTGGTTGCTCTCCATTCGCGTTCACTCAAAGGTCAGACTGAACACCGTCGATCGTGTGACCGTCGTCTGTCTCGTTTTTGTCCCGTTAATATTTTTATGGAATGCAGCTAAAATACGTGCTAGTCTGACAGAATCGATCGTCTGCATCGTCCTATCGCGCCTCAGACGTTGCTCCCTACATGATTGGTCGTCGTTTATAGTGTAAAATTCAGTCGTGTTGAAGATCAGCGTAGCACGACAGTGACGAGGATTTGTGAACGCTAGGTGAAAAAAGTGTTGGTCGCTGAGCCTTTGTTATGGATGGACAGCTTCTGACAGAAGTGCCAAAAAGAAGGGGACACCTCAGCTACAATCGTTTACTAGTGTTATACATCCACCCAGTCGACCTTGTGCTTCTTAGACTAGTTATTTTCTAACTATTCCACTAATCTTCAAAGTAGAGTTGTATACGCGGCAAGTACCATTCAAAATCAACGCGGCTTCACGTGGTGTTCGAGATATTCAGTGGTCGTGTATACTGCAGTTAAATCACTGCGCTCTCCTACTATTCCGTATTTCTGGCAGACCCATCAGCCTACGCTACGCATAACTCACTAATATGCCTCGCCGCTGCGTAACTGGATTTTCCAGATCCCACTCAGCTTATCCTATGTGGCAAGTAGTTCGAGGTTTGCTGGTGAACTCTATCAGTTGCCATAATAATGGGATAGTCCATAGCTCCACGAATGAATTTGCGGTTGTGCACCACATTGGAGCTTCAACACCACAACGTGTGAACATATAACAAAGGGGTGTCGTATTGTTTGAACGGATGGATTTCAATCGTTAGGTAGAAGTACTGTGGAAAGTGCCAGGTAACTGAATGGACCAGTAGTGGAAAACCTATCAGTTTTGGACGAAACGAAGTTGAAACCATTACTCTTTGGCCAGGTTAAGGTTTTGTGGTAAAAGGGAGAGACAAACATAGTTGTATGGCGAAACGGAGCGGAATCGAAGGAACGAGTTACGAGGATCATCAACCTAGGCAATTATGAAACAGAGTGAGCTAGCAACTTGGACAATTTCTGGAGGTCGTCATTCAAGGAAGGGGGGCAATGAGGTTATCGTGGTTGTCATAGTTCGTAGTCACTCGTGTCGTAGTAGTCCTTCGCAGTCCTTATTATCGGTGACTGAAGATGCTTATAAGAATCGACTTGCCGACCGTCAGGTATAAGGTAACGAACACAGATGTGGCATAACTTTCAACTGTGGGTAACAACAAATGGCTACGTTGGCTCGTGTACACCAGGGTGGTGTCCGGTATTCTTTTAAAAAGGGTACTAAGTCCTGGCTCGTGTGGAGCATTCTCTAGGCTTTTGTGAGCAGCGTGACCAGACTGGTCGCGACTCGCTGACAACCCACTACCAGTTTCGCCGTATTTGAGGTGCACCGGAAGATGTTGGTTCATCAACTCTAATGTTTTCTCTCATAGTTTGCCCCAACTTGGTAAATCAACTAGTTATAGATACGGTGTCTGCCAGCTTCACTGTTACCTCCCCTAAGCTGTGTGACCACTCGCACAGTGTAGCCGTCAAATTATCGTTAATCTTTGTACATGAATCCCTCCAACAATGAAGTATTTGCTCAAATAGTCAAGAAACACCTTTCGATTGCGTTCCGTTAGGCTTGTGCAGATAAGACGGTAGAGGTCAAAATAATAAAAGGATAACCGCTCAGCTGTAACACTGTTTCGGTGCCTGACTGTCATGTCGCCCGAAGGAGGCACGAGGGCTGGGATACTGTCAGATTGTCCAAGCCCAGACAGGGAATCGAGATGCAGAGGTCGGGTTCGAGCCACGGGCCTTCCGGCCGGTAAATTCGTGCTCTAACCACAGCCATCTCGCCAGAGGACCATTGGAGCAGAGGAATATGCTACTAATGCAGTCTAGTGAAGTGTTCCTTTGAAGATACCCTGTGCAATGGGACTAGCTAGGGAAGTCCATTAAGGTCATGGATTCAGACAGTATCGCATGGCGAGTAAAAATCATAGGGTTTCGTTTAGCTATCAATACAACGGTTATTGGAGTCGTTGGTTCCACCATACGATTCGGTTTTATTTAAGCTGGGAAAGTGGCATTGCCAATTTGCTCAGGTAACCTGTACCTTCGGGGATCACCCGGACATACTCGACTAGGTGTAGAGCTGAGTGTGAATCTAAAATCAGTTGGCGTTAACTGCACTCCTGGACCGATGCGCTTATCTAGACGCGAAAGGGTGCTATTCACATGGTCGCGGGTCAGCTCAGTTCAATGCAGTCTCATGACCGCTAATCGTGCACGTACCTTCGGGGTTGCTCGTAGCAGCTAATAGCTGCCGATAGTGTAAGACAAAGAATCAAAAAGGGTCGATGACATCGCCATTTTACTGACGTGTTGAGTGGTTGAAACCCAAACGTCGTAGACGACATGCACCATTGCATGCAAGATCCCTTGTTATGTTATTCAGTTTATGCATTGTCCGCATTGTGGTGTCTCCCAGTCGCAACCTGCTTCAGCAATCGGGACACGGCGAGGCAATCGATCCCCTGAGATATGGAGCGCATGACTCGGCCAGCGCAGTTGATGCAGCCAAATCCACTCATCAATCGGGTAAACAGCCGATTTGTTGCCAAAGTCCATTCATCGCACATCAACAAGGTTATCTCATGTTTCATTTGAGATACCGAAATATATTTTCTCGAATACCACTACTTATAAAGTTGCTGATAAACATACGAAGATTTTTCAGTCAGCCTATAAGCCATGTCCTGTCGAGAAAATACTGTTCATTTGTCTGGGTTTCCAGTGATAAATGACTTTAAAAGGGCTGCCGAGGAGTGATTTCTTGAAGTTCATTCGAGCATGCAACCACCTTCAGCAGGCAATGGTTCAGACTATCCCTAGGAATGTTGCTTTTGGGGGTGGAGAGTTTGTTGTATTTGCTAAACTTCCGTTTTTTCTGCTGTGTGCACTGGAATAACCTGCGAGAGACGCTAATAAGGTTATTCTTTTTTCTCTGGATTTTCTCGGCCCCTGTTCAACTCGGGTTTCTGCCTGAGGCAGTAATTTGCCCTAAACTGCACCTACTCATGATGTTATGCGCATAACTCATGAAATGTTTTGCATGTCAATGAGGTCACAGCCAGTAGTGTGCAAAAATAAACAATAGTTTAAATATTTAGCGATGAAAATTTTTTTTAAAAAAATGGGATGGACATAATAGGGCTTCACGTACTGTGCCAGCGATGCGCCCAGTGCCTCCATCAACCCAGAGTCAAATTCACCTGTTTGCTGTTAATGAATTGCTCAAAAATACGTATTTACCATCGCTCGTTCGGACTGGATAAATGTTATGGTTAAACCGTTACCAGGTTGCATTGATGAGGTTTCTCGTCTGATCGGAGACGAGCACTTGCATGTGCATCTCCAAATGGGTTGCATGCGTTTTCTGTCTTCTCCTTTTGTACGCGAGCCCAGGTTGAGTAATCAGAGTACGTCGATCTATTCGACACTATCATGGATGTTCGAAACCGGAGTTCAAAAGTTGAATAGGCTGGACGCCTAGTAAATGAATGGTATTCGTTCCTGTGTAACTACTGTTAGTGTATGTGAATTCTGATCGTGCGCACT